GGATAAAAATTGAGCAAGTTATGGGTTGCACAAGTTGGGAAATTTGGAAAAATTTCAAGAAATACACATTGAGAAAATTTGTGTTTTTTAGGTTAATGAGTCTAATTTTTGGGACTTGAATGTATTCATGACATGTTCAAGAACCTATAAACTCACCCATGCATGAGTTTGATTTTTTATTTTATTTATTTTGGATTTTTATCCAAATAAATTTTAAAAAAATTAAATAAATGCAAGAGTAATGTATGAGGCATGTAGGGCTTGAGATTTGATCATATTGGAGGCCCAAAGAGCTCATGAATAGCTATCAAAACCGTGTGAATGCATACATGGAAAGATATCTTCAAATTATGGAAGATTTCCAAAGATTTTTTGAAACAAAATCAAGTTATGATTACATGAGATTCTTGCCACAATTGTTAACCTAATTCTACCCTCATATATATACAACAAACCAATGGATCTATGTTAATTGAATATGTGATAAGATAAAAGTAGTCATTTTTATGTTTGTTATAAATAAATACTGGAAGAATTAATTATAATTTAAAAGTGTTAGTGCAATGGGTTCTTTGTACAACATATTGTTATGTTAATATTCATGGGTTTGAAATCTATTGGAATTAATTTTTTTGACATTATCATTATTTTATAAAAAATGAACAAAATAACTATAATTATAAAAATTAAAAAAAATTTAAAAAATGACATGGATAAAATATTCAATGTTACCTCAACCAAAATTGTGCCACGTCCCTGAAAATAAGCACCAAATTGAATGAGGACTAAATTCAAACACAAAATTTAAAAAAAAAGACTAAAATAATAATTTTTAAAGTGGGAGGATCAAAATCAAGAAAAAAACTAAATAGGGAGACTAAAGTTGTAATTAAACTTAAATATTAAATTATTGACCATACACCTAATATTTCAAATTATATAACAAAGTACAAACCAATAAAAAATGAGCAGGTTTGGGGATGAATCCAGAGTGGATACTAGTGTCTAAATTACTTATCTAGTTTTCATCTTTTGCAATCAAAGAAAATATAAACCCGGACATGAACCTAATCAAAGCAAATTTTCCTCGTCAAACTTGGGGTAGATATCTTGATGTATGTGCTAAGTTCTCATACCTTGAGTCAACGATGAATAAAAAAATAGATGACACCCATCATACTACCTTTTCATAACATTTCCTTAGTATTTAAACCATTTTTTTGACTTACTACATTGCACGAATTAGAGAAATTTATAACATGATTCAATATATTATGGATGTTGAAATATGTCTTAAAATCTTTGTTGATGACGAGAAAGAAAACATATTTGAAGATTGCAAAAACCAGAAAACCGGAAATTTCAAAATGTATTTCAGAAAATCGAAAAAAATTAGAAATCGAGCTCTAGCAGGCGCAGGCCGACCGAAATTCAGTGGTTGCCAGAATTGAGATTGGTAACAGAACTGGCGATGGTCACCAGAGTGTGGTGGCGACGGGGAAGGTGGGAACGAGGCATTTGCGGTGGCCCCAGAGGTCTGTATGACGGTGACCGGTGGCACCAGAGGTCCATACGACGGTGACCAGTGGCAGTCTAACAGGTCCGCACGATGACTATCGACGCCGGTTTGACAAATCCGTACAGTCAGGTCATAGTTGGGTTGATTTCGAGATTTTTGGAAAATCAACAATTTTCTCAGTTAGGGTGTTTTGAGAGTTTTCGGTTTTGTCCATAGATCCATGTGTTAATGGGTTATATTTTGAACTTTGTTTATTGAATTTTATATATTATAAATATATATCTCTTCTTTGTTTACAATGTGATAATTTTAATTTTAGAGTTTTAGAACTAAAAAGAAGAAATAAGAGTTTAGGATTTTCTAAAGGTAAACTTAGAAAGACTAGGGTTTTTGAAATACCTTCAGAGTTGTCTAAGAGGATTGGGAAATACACCTTGAGTTTGATTGACTCAAATATTAAGAGTTTGAGAGGTTAGAAAATACTTTGATAGAAAATATGAGACAAAGAATATTTTCTAATAACTCATTTGTAATCTCTTGTAACAACTTTCTGAGTATAGTAAATCAGAGAGTTGCTCTCTCCTCCAGAGTAGATCATTTGATCGAACTGGATAAACAAACCTTCGTCTTTTTCTTGTTTTATTCTGTTGTATTATCTATATACGAATTATTATTATTTTAGACCATTTATTTCAATTGCTACTATTCTTTGTCTCACAGATTAATATTGAATTTTGCCGTAATTCACAACAAATAGAAACACATTCATTCAACAAGAAAACCCAGAAGAATTACAAGTACCAAAAAACAAAGGGGTTGAGATATGACCCAATCAAGTTAATGACCCTGCTAATTTAAAGCCACCTGCCACGCTATATGAACAACAAAAGTTTTAAATTATCCTAACACGAACGACACTAACTCTATCAAATTGATCCATTAGAAATATACAAAACAATAGGTTCTGTACTATAATATAGTTCTTACTATAATATAGTTCTTGGACTATATAAAGAACAGCCTGTAGAGTCTATGAAAAACAGCCAGAATCAACACAAGCTTTGTTGCCTTCCATTTCCGAAGGCTTTTGATTCTGTCGACACTATTTAGTTTACACTAAGTAGCTTCATTCAGTTCCTGCACAAAATTCAAAGAATTTATATAGGTGTAATAGATGAATAGGCTCAAGCACAACCTACTAAACCAGCTTGCATAACTAACTAATTACCAAAAGCCGAGTCAGCTTAACAAACTAAAACCAGAAAACAGAAATGTCTACAGAAAACTATTTAGTTGAGATTCCTTTAACTTCTTCTAAGTAGTGTGATGATAACAAGATGAGAGATAAACCAGGTGAGTAGGGCTAATTGGCATTACAAGAACAGATTGTCAGTTATTCCCACTTCAAGATCAATGACCTTAAACTCTAACTAAAATCGCTCAACCAAAATCAGTTTTCACCATTGTAGAACCAAACAGACTTATTATAAGTTGAACAATCATGATTATTGCTATGAAGATTATCTCTATTCATTCTCTAGAGATAAAGATGTTTCAGAGATACAAAAAGGCCTTATAATTGTTTAAGATACTAGTAGTGAGTTAATTGACAAGCTTTCTTTTTCACTTTTGAAAAAACAGCTCCGAGGATTGGTTGATTAGTGATATCATCACCTTTCCGCAAACAGAGTTATTCCAATTGAAATCCCAAACCATATTACAAGACAAACTAAAGCTAAAGGAACAATAAGTACTTAAACAAATCAAAACCATCAAGAAATGTTTTGAGAATATGAAATCAGAAGCAACACTAAGAAATAGATACACAATCCAAAAACACTAGATGTATATGTATAAATCAATCAAAGCATTGTACATATCAACTCTTTCATAGCAAACCTTGCATCAAAGGGAACACACAAGAATCAATACCAATGTTCTATTTAGGGCCAATAATGTGAACCATCAGTAACATTCTTGTCACCATTTACTTAATAATTTTTCCTAAATCATTATTTTCTCATTTTTCATGCATGTAAAACGTAATGTACATAAACACAGACAACTAGTATCAAATAGATCTATGAAATGAACATGAGACCAACCCTTCTACTATTGTATTTGAACAATCGTTCAATGAAAGAGAGTTCTTCCTCACAATTGTCTCTATATCAGGTATCAAATGAGAATTCTATTTTCCCCTAGTCATGTTCATTGGAAGCAGATTCCATATATTTATGAAAAAACTAATATCAATCATGGCCAACTAAATAAAAATGGCTTTGCTTGAAAAAAAACTAATACGAAACATGTTACATTAGCACAAAGTGCATAAGTACTTTAATCCCAAATGCACACACAAATTAAAGACCATGCAAAAATTTACAAATCATTTTCAAATCATACAATCAATGATCTTTAAATTCTTGTATCAAATAGATCACACATTTTACTTATGCCTTGAGTGAGAAACTAAAGGAGAGGTAGCAATTAAAATGGGAAAGCATAACATGCTTGCATAAACTCCAAGTGATTATTTTAAGACTCCAATAAGTTTGTAGTTTTTATACACTCATTGTTAGCACCTTAATTCTATCTAAGTTCTCCTAATCTTTCACTAAGAACCACATGCATGATACAAATTGATTTTTCAAGTTCATAATGAATGGGACAAGATTTGACGCAAACATTATGAAATTTGTAAATTAGTTAGCAGACACTTTAAAGCTACAAATTGATTTTTCAAGTTCATAATGAATGGGACAAGTTCATAATAAAAGGTAACGCATGAACGAAGAATCAACGAATCTAAATATCTAATAATAGAGAATAACATATTAATAATAAAAGGTCACGCATGAACGAAGAATCAATTAATCTAACTATCTAATAATAGAAATGACATATCAATATTTCAACCTACATATATACAATCAAGCATTAATTAAAGATGATCAATAAAGTCACTAGTAACTAGAACAAGTAAAAAATTAGTAACATAAACATAACAAAAAAGTTGAAATTGAGTCTAAAGTTCAAGAGACACTCTTGGGGCGTAATAATAGCTTATCATTAAATTTGAGGCCAAGTGGTTTGTAACATGGCATTGCTGCCATTTATTATACAGTTCGGGGTTGTAAAATTTTTCTTAGATTGGAAGATGTATCTGTCATACATATTGGTAGGAATCAGAACATTGAGATTCATAGCCTTGAGGGTAGCAAAACTTATCAGGTTCAAGGACTTGGCTGGGGAATGCCCCACCCATTGATGCAATACAAATTTGAAATGAATCTCTTATCATTCAATGAATGTTGCTGTTAAATTTATATAAAAATAAAATAAACGAACATGACAGTGAATTTGGATAGTTTCATAATATCACTGAATATATGATTTCCTCTCTTTTATTTTTTAGATAAATCAAAGACAAAAGATAACATTGAAAAGCATCTAGAGGATATGGATTTACCTTATGGCATTAGAAACAAGGTGATACCAAACTCTCAATGTAGACATCCGAGGGACCCCAATGATTGATGTATTCCTTCATTAGAATCTTACAAGCGCCGTTTTTGAAATCACAAATGGCCAAATTCATATCCCCTGCCGGCAACATTTCTTTCTTCATCAGCACTTGGTCATCCTTAGAAATCCATATTGGCGTTGCACTTATAGTATAGAAAGATTCTGGACTGCAAGGAACGCGGAACAACTGAGTCCAAGACTCTTCATTTCCATATTCCTTCATTATCCAAACACGAGAAAATGTGCGACTATGAGAAAAGATGCACAAACAATCCCGCAAAACATCCAAGCTCACCTCAAACAGAAGTTCCCCGCCGTGCTTAGGAGGAAAAATATTTCGATAGGACTCGTTCACCAAATCAAAAGAAATAATGGTATAATCATCATACGCAAAATCAGATGCAAACCAGTTTAGTGTGCCACTAGCCAATTTCAGCCACCTAGTTAATGGGGCAGGAAAGTCACCTGGAATCATTCTCCAAGAATCAGTACCTAATGTATGAACCTTAATTTTAGCAGTAGCTTGAAGAAATCCTTCATTATCCATCTCGCAAAGAACAGAAACCACCTTATAGTTATCAATTAAGGTATCAAACCCAAAACCATAAGCACGATATTGGCATAAACCTAAACCTAAAGAAGGTAATGTTTTGAATTTTTGAATGGAAGGGTTCCACAAAACAAGAGAGCCGTTGTTGGCCTCTAAAAACAAGATTCCATCGCAAGAGCCGAAGATATAGTAGAATTGTTTGAAGGGATAATGGAGTCGGGTGGCGTTATTGGTGTTGGTGAAAGTGGTGATACCGGAGTGAAGTGGGTAAGACAGTACATGCGACTCACGGCCGGGGTTTAGAAGGAGGCGGTGGCACGATCTTTTTTTTGACAGGCGAAGATGTTTCTGGATGAATTTGGGATCAGAAATTAGGGTTTTGAATGACTTACATAAACACCGAAATTGAACGAGAAGCTTCGGCGGCAAACGACATAGAATTTCTACTACAAGTTCAAACGGTAACGGCGATGCGTCAAGTGGCCAAGTCCTTAGTGTTTCATCAGAATCAGAATGTAGCGAGTTCTCCGGAAACCCTAATTCGGAAACCTTTCCCGGAGGCTGAGACTCGTCGTCGACATGAATGTCGGAAGAGGGAAGCAACGACTCCTCAGGCGGAGAGTGAAAAACGTGTTGGTTGGTATGAGGAGGAGAGAGAATGAGGATGGGAGTGGAGGATAGTGGGATGAATTCAGACGGCGAATCGCGGCGGTGGTAGTTGGGTGAAGTGGCTCCGACCATGGGGGTGCGGTGCAAAAGCTCTTGCTGGGAAATGGAAATACGAGAGAATTCTCCAAATAAATCGTATGGATCTTTCCGGTGCAACTGTTTGTTAATATTGCTATCTTCCATATTCTCCTCTTCTTCTACTTCTTCTCTGTTAACTCCATTTTAAATGTCCACCGCTTTCCCTTCTTCTACTGTTAAATATGTTTTTTCTTTATATCCATTTCAATTTTTTTATTGTTAAATTAATTATTTATAAATTAACACGTTACTCTTCGAGTTTAAAATATACTAGTCGATAACCCGTCGCACGGGGCCGGTCGAGAATTCATAAAACGTGGAACTAATGTTGTCATGTAACAGTAAAATCATTTTTATGAAATTCAATAAAAGTTCATCTAATTCGGCCAAATTTAGTGTATCAAACTTATTTGACAACATTAAAAAATGTAAACTGAAATCATGATTGTGTAACAAAATAAGAAACTGTGATGACTCTTCAAAATAAGAAACTATCATGAGTCTTCAGATACAACGCAACCAGCTTGGAAACGATGTTTTCAACTTTTTGACCTGCACAATAAATGATGCAAAAATTAGACAGCATTTACGGAAACAATTTATATTAAAGAAATTATTTGTTATTATGTACTTACCGATCAACAAAGAGATTGGAAAACTTCTTTGTATACAACATTTGTAGTGATAGATGTTGATACATTCATACTATCATGTATTAAGATCTTTAGACCACTTTTGCTTGTAACTCTTGAAATGGCTACATACAACTGGCCATGACTGAATACAGGAGTAGGCAAATACAATCCAACTGTATCAAGTGATTAGCCTTGAGACTTATTAATTGTCATTGCGTACGACACAATAATTGGGAACTGTCTCCTAATCAACTTAAATGGCCACGGTGACTCGGAAGGTGACATAGACATTCGAGGGATGAAAAAGATGTTACCAACATTCTTACCAGACATGATCTTTGCCTCAATAACGTGATTTGCCAACCTTGTAACAATTAGTCTAGTTCCGTTACACAAACCATCGTTTTGGTCCAAATTCCTCATAAGCATTATTGGTGTACCAACCTTTAATCTGAGTTTGTGATTTGGGACACCTGAAGTCCTAAGCTTGCTAAGAAATTCTGGAGTAAGACATTCATAGGCTTCGGTGTAACTTGAATCAGTTCTATCAATCGAATCAAAACTCAAATACTCTTTGTCCTCACCTAAGAAATGGGAAAACGCGAATCAATCCATAATGTTTTTTCAAGAATTATTTAATAACGAAACATCTACACGAAAATAAACATCAAAAGAAAAAAGAGTTTACCCGGTATCATGTCTAACACGTAATGATTAATTTTATCAACAACTTCAATGGTTGAAGCAAGTATTGCTTTTTCTTGTAGAAATCCTACATTTTGAAAGTCGGCAAGCAAATTTGGGTATATGCTTTCAACTATAGCTCTTATTGGATCCTCAAAATTGGAAATTAACAAATCCGGAGGAATTTCTATATCAGCTAATCCATCGTTATGTTCACATATTTTACCGTCGCCAACATTTAATATCCATTTAGAGAATTCTGCAAGTTCATCAGAAGTTGTAACGTCCCTCCCATTCTTTAGTCTCATGTTTTTGGTTAGTGTTAAGACTTGGCAATAGTCCCACACATAAGAAGAACAAATGGAAGCATGAACAATATCAGAACGGCCTGCTCTTGGAACAACTGGAAGTATCTGTCAAAAATCTCCTCCAAATATAACTACCTTGCCACCAAAAATTGTATTTGCAAAACCCTTATCGCTCATGACATCCTTAAGGGTCTTATCCAAGGCCTCAAAACAATTCTTATGAGCCATGGGTGCTTCGTCCCATATTATGACATCAGTAGCTTCGAATAACTGTGAATGCTCAGAGTCTTTGTCAACATTGCAAGTAGAGTTGTCAAGCGTTGGAATGGGAATTTTGAACTTCGAATGGGCTGTTCTACCACCTGGCAATAATAAGGAAGCTATGCCACTTGAAGCAACAGCCAGAACAATTTTTTTATCTGAACGAAGTGCACTTGATAATGTCCTCCACATAAACGTTTTACCGGTTTCGCCGTATCCATGTAAAAAAAAACACGCCTCCGTTTTGTTTCTTGACGGCGTCCATTATGGTTTCAAAGATTGCACGTTGCTCATATTGACGTTCAAATGAAAAGAATCAATACAACAGTGGTTTAATGAAAACATCGATATTTGAATAATGAGGAAATACCTGTTAGAGATGAAAATAGATTCTGGAAGTTTTGTCGCTCTGAATCAGCATCGTAATCACGTTCATAAAAAATCAGTCTATTGCCGACATGTCGCGTTATATACAAATCTGGAAACGGCATATCTTTGAATTCACGCAAGCTTCTTCTATTTGATTGCATCATATTCTCAATCTCAATTAATGCGAGGTTTGTCAGTTCTGCCGTTGACAATTGCATGTCTTCCAACACAAATACAAACCAAAAGAAAATATAACTATTTTGTACAATAGAAATCACAGTGTTGATGAAGATAGACATGCAAAAGGATCGTTAACCTTAAAATGGCAGTATCATGGAAAAGTTCAGTATAATGCAAGAGCATCAGACATTCGGGTTCATTACAAATGTTATGTTTTTGATCAGTAGCTGTGACAAAAGGTGGTTGAAGGTAAAAGATAAATCACAGAATTATTCTGTTCTGTGTTGATGGGGAGTAATATCAGATTGCATTAGATATTTTTATTACTGATGAAATGGCAGCATTGAAAGGACTTGCTTACTGGAACTTATGATTCTTTGAAAGGGCAGCATTGAAAGGTGCTGTTGAAAGGTGTTGTATGATATGTAACATATATATGAAAGTATAAAAGGATTGAAATTATTGCATCCAAAGTAGTCTAAAAGGTATTATAAGAAGAAAAACTCATTATAATAGTTTCGTACGGTTTGTAATTGTATGAAATTTAACAGAAGTATTTAGGTATTTGTTAAGTGTACCTCTTATTCCAGTGACAATTCTCTGTTGATGAAGAATATCGTCAGATAGCAACTTCCAAGTCTGTTGCCAAACATGTCGCGGCCGATTAACAGTACCAGATAACAGCATCGTGACAAATAGCTTCCTCAAAAAATTACCGGAACCCTAATCTTTGGCCTCATTTATGGCTGCAACATATTCTTTGTCGTCGTTAAGAAATCCCATCTCAAAGCATGCATCTCTAAAACTGTCGAGGACGACTCTGTTGTACCCCAAAATTTGCCCTCCCATATTCTCCAATAAACTGCCAAGCCAAGCTACAAAATTCCCCAAGAGTTGCAGTGCAACAGTCTCCATACAGTCAAAACTAGGGTTTGTGTGTTGATCAAGAAAAGGAAGTTTTCAAAGGCTCAATCAAGTCTCATATGCTTACAAACATGGTCAAGCATCCTCATATCAAGTTTCAAGGCATTCAGCTCAAGATTGTACAGTCAAAACCCTAAAGTGCACTACAGTCAACTGTAGGGGCAAAATGGTCATTTGACAGTCAAAAGTTCAAATTTTTGATCAACATATCATTTTGAAGCCACAAACATCATTTGATCAATGCTTGATCATGATTCTCAAAATTTGGCTCAGAAATCATCAAAGTTGCTATATTTGGACAGCTGAAAAAGTCAACTGAAATTGACCAGGGCATAACTTTCACATGGATTATCAGAAAAATTCCATCCAAAGCTCATTTTGAAGAGAAAGACATTTCCTACAACTCATCTTCATACTTCAAGTCCAAGAAATGCTCTCACAAAAAGTTATCAATTTCAACATTATAGGTCATTTTCAAAAGTCAACAAAAAGGGACTTTAAGTCAAAGGCCATAACTTGAGATTGGTAAATCAAAATGACATGGGACCAAAGGCATTGGTTAAAGGACTCAAAGACCTTTCCAAAATGTCCAAGAACATGTGAAAAGCTTAAAAATTGAGCAAGTTATGCCTTGTAGAAGTTGGGAAATTTTTGTGAAATGGCAAAAGTCAACTATCTTTGAAAATCCAATTTTTGACAAAAGGGCCCCATTTTTTCCATTTGGTTCATCCTTGTCATGCCACACACGTGTTCCATGGTTAATTTCAAGACCAAATATTGATTTTTTTTATTTTATTTAATTTTTGATGATTTAATTCATTTTAATTCTTTGAAAATTCAAATAAAATTTAAAAACCAATAGAATAGTGTCAAATGAACTTGGACAATTTCTATGTATCATGAACCAACTCAAAAATCAGGCCAAGGTTCATTTGCACACTAGGTCTAGGTTTTGGCTAGAAAATAGGAAAAATGGTTAATGGAAGAAACCCTAAGACCAATTCTTTCCCAAGCATGGATTAAGGTCAAATAGCAAGCCTATTCCATTCCATGATGATCACTGAGTCCAACCCTAACTAGAACATAGCAAAAAGCTCGCTGAAAAAGCCATTGGACATTTTGAAAATAAGCCATATATTGCAAATCTGAAATCAAGGTTGGGGACAGTTTGAAGCCTCAATTTTTTTTCCATAAGCATCCTGGACCATCACTGAACACGTTCCAATTCAAAACATCTTCCAAAACTCCTTGAACTGGTATCTACAAGTGAAACTGTACAGAAAAATTTTTGAATTCGTGTTCTTGATTCTAAGCATCCTTTTGCATTTTTAATTACATATTCATGTTCCTCACAAAGTTTCCAAGCTGTTCATGGTATTTAATTGCATTTTCATAAGCCATACACGATTTTACCATTTTCATGTTCTAGGGTTTTGTAGAGCTTAATTTAGGGCTTTTGTAAATAAGCAAAATCAGAACTCAAGACCATTGCTATCACACTCAGTACATCCAAACGAAAAGATTCCAGCCCTCGCGCTCAATTTATGAGCGTCGAGGACCTCTTCGCTATTTTCTGTTAGGTGGGATAAGGCAACGCGTGAAAACTGTGGCCATAGGGGTTTTGTTTCAGGGCACGCGAGGAAGAAGAAGTCGTGGCAGCCAATGATACGCTCATTTGAATTGCGCGCGTTTTTAAGTGCTATGCATTGGTTTTGTTTTTTTATTATTTTCTTACCATAATATG